ATGTTAGGTTCTAATGGTCTTCATCCTAGTTAAAACTCTTAAAAGTAGATGAAGAGAGAGCTTTATATATATATAATTCTCTTACTAGGTCTGCTCAGGTTAAAACTCTTAAAAGTAGATGAGGAGAGAGCTTTATATAATTCTCTTACTAGGTCTGCTCACTCCTCTCCAAGTATGACTGAGGCTGTTAAGGCTCTTGCCTCTGATTGCAGTGCCACAAATTACAAAGACATGACAAAGATATCTAAAAGGTAAGCTTTTTTGATTTCTTCTTATTAAAAAATAAGTCAATTTATATCTATATTAGTATCTTTAGCTGAATAGCTTTAGTGTCTGCTACTAAATGTGGTAGCAGGGATGCCAGCCATTTCACTCCTCCCCTAGGAGGGTAAGGGCATTAATGGGTGTTAATTCACAGCAGCTTCCGTATTTCTTAGTTATCTCCTGCTGTAATAGACAGATATGCTGTAAGCTTTATCCTAAGCCCTGAGGCCTGAAGTTGCTTCTTTCCAAAACTGTAAGCATTTACTGCTGGTATTGGAGAGTGGTTGTTCTTGTTGCTGAAAGGTTCAAATGACAGTAGCCTGTAGCACAGGCTTAAAAGGTTATGATGTGTTTCATGGTCATAAAATAGTACTAGGGATACTAGTAAATGCCACTACTGCCTCCAATGATGTTTAGATGTTTCATTTCCTGTTATCATCTCTGAGAAGTGGAAAAAAAATCAAACATGTTTGCCTTTTTATCAGGTACATTTTCTATTATTTGTATTGCTTCATGACTGAGAATCTCCTGCAGGGCAGAGGAAGCTAATTTCAGAGACATGCTGTAATTGTATTCTAGGGCCAGACTACAGCCTGGTGTCCCAAGAACTGTACCTACCAGTGGAAGAGTTCAAGGCATGTTACTAAGAAGTAAATCAATACCCCAAGATAAAACTGTGCCATTTGTAAACATTCCCCTGGCTGATGGAAAGGTATTGAACCTTTATTACCTTTTGTACTTAGTGGTAGCTGTTAAACAAAAGGTGAATAGTCTGACAGTAATGGCCTTCTCACATTCAGAATAATTTTTATCTTAAAATTGTAATTTTCTCCTCATGTTTAGACACTATGTACTGCTGTTGGAGATCTCCATAACATTGATGTGCAACTACTAAATCAAGATACAGTACAGCATATTCATAACTTAGTGGTAAGCTTAAAACTATTAACCTACAGAAGAATTCACAAAAGGCCTTACAGAGATTGACATCTAAGTCCTAGATTTTCATGAGGCATTGACACAAGTTCTAAATATGTAACTGTTTTGAGAGGAAGCCTAAATTGGTTGGCATAAATTGGAGGGAGGAACAGGGAGTAGGAGGAACAGGGAGAACTGCTGCACACTGATAATACAAGAGTAAGTGTGCTTACATAAGCATATGGAGTCTGGTAGTTCCCTGGGGGAGGACAGAAGCATAAACTCATCTTTCTCAGTCTCTCCCATGTCTTTCCTACCCTGTAAGCCAAGTGCCATTCTCTATCTCCTGTTCACAAAGCCTTACAAAGATACAGCTAAGTTCCAGTGCCTGTTCTAGTCCCTCTATCTTTCTCTGTGGCTGGGTAAAACTCTTGTTAATTCTCTGCTGCACTTGAATAATAACTGTCTTATCTTTGGTTTAGGGAAGTAAACTTGTTTTGGAACAGAACACAGTAGAACAGAATCTTCTAGCACATACTCTGATACATTCAAGCATAGCTGAGGCTGCTGGATGATACATTCATAAGGGGCACTAGCAGTCAGTATATACCTGGACACAAAATATTAATCAGTTTACAGTCTTGTAGGTACTTAGACTTCAACACAGATGTGTGAGTTAGAGATGCAGAAGCTAACTTGTGTTTTGTAACAGGTACCTGCCTCTTTAGGTAGAGAGGAAGGGTATGTTTGTTCCTTGCCTGTTTTAATTAGTTTCTCTATTTTCCTCATCTGTGCATATATCAGCTTGAATTAAAGTTCCTTTTCTTTCCCCTTAGAGTGAGCTGACTGTACTATGTGGGAAGGCAACAGTTAAACCAAGTTCATGAAACTTGCATAAGGGTCCATCTCCTCACTCCAGAATATTTATGACAGCCCTTCTTTGCCTCTTCTAAAGTGTTTAGAGTATTTCTATGTCTTAATAAAGCTGTGTACTGTACTGTCCAATAAATGTTTTTATATAAAGCTTACAATGTGATCTCTATATTAAAAATACTCATCTTTGAAGGGTTCAAAACCAGAAGTAATTCCACATTTCAGACTTTATAAAAACAGTTAGCAGATCAGATAAGCTTGAGTTCAATCCTGATATTCTAAGGAGCGTTATTTTAGAACAACTATGTAACTAGAGCACTATTTAATGTCTTTCTTCCATGCACATCACCTACCTGAGGAGAATGCTGCCATGCATGCTTGGTCTTTCCTGGGGCCAGCATCTGCTGAAGTCCATGTTTAAGTTCTTGAGTAGCATTTTAAGCCAGAGGGCTTTAATCCTGTAGGGACACTACACATCTGACAAGACTGAACAAGCATTATTACCTCTGCAGTTCTCTCATTGTATAAGACTATGCAGTAAGGAGAAGTAACTCGTTTTCCTCTGTTACAACTCATTGGTGATGGTATCTAACCCGATTTTCCTAACACTTGTATTCATTATTGTGCGTTTTTTGAGAAACTGGTAGGAAAGGCTCTTGCCCTCTTCCATGGACAGAAGAAAGTCCCATAGAAACTCTGGTGCTGGGTGGATGTACCAGTAGTTTCAGAAGGTTGAGGATTATTATTCCTTGGATACAGATTCTGTAAGTAGTGTTGAGGATGTACAGAACTTTGGACCAAAGTTATGTTCATGAAGACTTAGTTCTGTGAATAATGTAGCTTGAACTAATAAAAATCTGTCCTTAAATTGATATGAATAATAAACAAGCTCTCAGCTTGATTAGCACAGGCCCATGTCTGGAAAGGGTAGAATGCTTTAGGGGTCTTGTTACAATTAAGAGAGAGGGGTAGTCATAGTAGAGAAATATTAAGAAAAAAAAATCTATTGTTAAGTGGGGCTACTGTAGTTAAAGGATTTAAATCCTTTTAGTTACTCAAAAAAAAAAGCTGCTAAAGCTTCTTGTAGCCAACACAAAAGGCAAGTCCACAAGATACACTATCTAGTTGTAATGAAGGCCAAGGACTTCTCAAACAACTGAAGTTATTATTATGCTTTACCATTAAGCTAGGAGGCCTACACTATTTATTTAAAATTCAATAGAAGAGGCATACAGTTACACCCTACTCATCTATCTTCACTGTCTTTAATTTTGTAGTTCTAGGAGCCTAAGGCTTAACTAGAAGTTTATGGCTTAATGAAGAGACAGGGTCTTCTAAAGGAAATTCAAGCAGTAAACAACTCCTTGCGAGTTAAATATTGAAACCAAGATAGTGTAGTTTGGAGATTCATACAAGGTTTTTTTCTACACTACAACTTTTTCAAGGGGTACCCTCTTTGATGCTGTTCTACTAAGAAATACAACTCTGAACTCACTCAAAGATGCCACCTTCAGGAGCCTAATTTAACATACACTCAGGCCCAAAACAGAACTAAGATAATTCACATTTCATATTGACCACTTGTTCCTTTCTGTTCAGCACATAAAAGATTATCATGAACCCCCACCACACCCCTGCACCAAGAAAAATGCAGTTTCAGACTCATAGGGTTGTATAGTATGCTCCCCACCCCCAAAGGGTGAGTTCTCTAATTACTACCTAAACTTTAGTAAAGTTTTAGAAGACAGGGAAGAAAAGGGTGTTAATATGTTTAAGCATTACAAGACCAACTTCTTGGTAAAAATGAACCATAAGAAGGATCAGTATAAAACCTTGGCTTCACAAAAAGCAAGGAGAACTTACTGAACAAATTAAAGAGTCACTAGCTGGAAGTGCCACAAAGTATAAAAAGGCAGTATTGAGATACAGGTCAAACAAGATTTATTCTTGCTTTGGATTCCAAAATGAGAATGCTCAATGATAATCTCAAATGCTGATCACACCCAGGTACACAGACAGCCTTGGAGCTGGTCTCTCCAGCTATTAAACAGTGTCAACAACTATCTGAGCTACTATTAAACAAGTTACACAGTTCAGGCTTGCAAAGAAAAGGAAAGGCTTATCCCGATTTCCTCTCCTCTATGGAGAAAGGAAAAACACCATGAAGCAGCAGCTGACTGACTATAAAGTACATGCAGTTTCTCACTACAAGAGCACTAACAAAACTTAATTAACTGTATTCCATTTATTCCATCATTTTGTAAGGCTTAGATTTTGCTTAGCTGTCATATCTTAGCCATTAAAATCACATAAAGGAAGAGGACTATGGTAGAAAACTTGAAACCTTAAACATGAAAACATGCAAACTGCTGAAAATATACTAACAACTACACTGAGCATATTTCCAATAAAAAAAGAAAAAAACCACTTTATCAAAGAGAATGCTAATCTCTTTACAAAGTAATGCAACCACAACTTGTCAAGCATCACATTCATTTTTAAGTTATCTTCGCAAAAATGAAAATGTTCTTCTCAAAAGTCAGGCTAAACCAGGCTTTGATTTTCCAGGATTAAAAGACACCATTGTTTTGGGAGTAGAAGATTCTGGTATCTTCTGACTGCACTCAGAAACCTGAGAATTTTTTTCATCTAAAAAGGAACATGGCTACACTCTTCCCCACGCTCATCATACCTTATTTCAAGAAAAGACTACTTTGCATGCAGCACACCAAATTCTTATCTACCTCTGACCTGCTCTTAAAAAGCAGCTTTGGCCTATGTTTATATGATGTTTACCTCTACCTACAATCCATTGGTGCACAGCAGTAGTTAAAACCACTGAGAAAGCAGAAGTTACAAGGCAAAAAGAAATATATTATACACCAACTGCTTTTATTTAATTTCAGAAACCGTTCACAAGATGGTAGAAAAAAAAAAACAAAAAACCTTACAACCACTTCTAATTTAGTCTTCCATTGTTCCCAGTCAGCTCTAAACCCATTATGTGCAAAGCCCATTTACCATGCATCTAGATGATAGATACAGGCTATGAAATTCTTTATTCTACTTGTAGCAGCTTATGCAGGTGCAGCCAAATACCAAGCCTCAGGACAAATTGTACACAAACTTTACAATGTAGAATTTGAATTTAAAATATGAAACTTAAAATCTACACAAAACTGGTAAAAATCAAGCACAGATACAAGGACAAACTTAAAACCCATGTGAAAAGGAGTCTTGTCTTCCTTTCAAGTGCTTTATTCTGCTACACAGTCAAAAATGAAGATGTAAGCTTTGTGGTTAGTTTAAATTACACTCTGTAGATACTATAGACCAATTTAAAAGTTACACATACAGCAATAGATGTCCATTGGTTCATCTGGATTACTTATACAATCCAGTTGGATTGTTGAAAACAAGTCAGGCAAAAATTGAAAGAAAAATCCTTGTGCAACTTTTTAGACAAATGTTTACTGATGGGCACACTGTACCCCAGGTCCATGATGGCTGCTTTCTTCATCAGAACTATCGATATAAACTTCACGTCTCTGGCCACCACCTGAACCACGACTGGTATCTAATTCCTGAAGATCTACCTCTTCTGTATCACCAATTACATTGGGGAATTCTGGTCTAGCTGGCAGAAGATCTTCAAGTTCCTGCCCAAAAAAAGAAGTACATTCAGCACTGCATCTCCAACTGCTAAATACATGGTCTAGTTTCCTGCGATTTCAAGCCTTCAGACAGCAGATTCAGTTTATAAGTATGTATTTAAGCTGATGCAAAACCAAGAAGTATACTCATTTAGAGGTATCCAAGTACTTGCCTCAAGTGGAAGATGTCACTGAAAAAGAGCTAGCAGCTCCACACATCATTGCCTGAAGTACAATCAGTAAATAGTCACACACTGAGACTTATCACATGGTAGCAGGTATTGCAAGAAGTTTTTCCTCCTGCCCTTAAAGCATTTGTACTGCTCCGAAAGGCATGTTCCAGAAACTGACATTCCAACAAGTATTTTCAAGCTACATGTTCCCTTTAAACAGCATTAAAAGAACAACGTGATTGTACTTGCATCCAAATTTTAATATTGGAAAGCAAGCACCCGAGTACAACACAAGCACTCTACACACTGCCAAGTAAGAATACTGCATTCATGTTTGAAAGCACTTACTGAAAGCTTTTCTGGGCTAATCCAGTTATTTTCAGGAAACTGAACATCAAATTTAATGTAAAGATCCCCCTTCTCAAAAGGATTGCGGTACTGTGGCATCCCTTCACCTCTAACTACACGAACACAGCCTGTAATAGAAAGAGAAGCAAGTTGGAAAGGGATACTTCAGAATAAATCTTAGAAGTCTCTCAATTTCTCCAGTCTGGCTTTAGGTAACCAAGTAAGAATGGGAAAAAGTACTCAAGAACCACAGCATAGCCAGAGGAGTCCTTATCAGGTCAATCTTACCTGGTTCGATTACTTTTCCAGGAGGATATTTAACCACAATTTGACGTCCATCAAGGTGCTTAAATGTGAACTGAAATCCACACAGTGCTTCAACAAGACCTATCTTGTGTGTCATATGCAAGTCATTCCCATCCCTCTGGAACACCTACAAAGAAAACAGATTTCTAGTACTATGATCATTTCCACCAGACTCAGCATTTAGTGCATTTTTCTACCAATTCATTATTTATTCTTAAATCTTCTCCATGTCAAAGCTGGCCAACAGCATTTGTGTAAACTGCTTCTGTTAACGCACATAACATGCTTAGAAAACTTGCCTTGGATGAAAATTCTATTTAAAACACAGCAAACCATCACATATACCATGATGCAAAGTTCAAATTAAGAACAAAGTCCTGTATAGCAGCAATGCTCTTTTCTTAGGATTTTCCACACAAGACACCTATAAACAAACTAAAGCAGTGTGACATTACTCCCCCACCCTGCCCTCAGGTATAAAAATGCCTCGTGCTTCTCAGCACTTCAAATAGCAGTTGCAGGTAACTGCTTCAGCTTGCTCTATCTATATACAACAGGGTTTTAATCAACCAGTCCTTTCCTTAACTAGAGATTCTTAAATCATCCTCCGTAGATGCACGCTACTTGAGAAACCTAAGTTTTGCCCATTGGCATCACTCCAAGACATTACACTTCTCCCTTGCCTTCTTTCCCACATTGAGGAAGATTTTAAGCATATTAAAAGCTACACTCAAAGTCATTCTAGGGTTACTCACTAGGATACAAAGATACAGCTACAGTATTTTTCAGAATGACTAATACTGTAAGAACAGATGTAGTTCATTATAAGACAGAGAGAGATGGTATCTGCCATCTGGAATTTCAGTTGTCATGCACGTCTCACTGGTTCAAGTGTTTGTAGATAATTTTTTTCCCTTGTCAGTCAAGATCATCTGATTCTGTCTCAAGCAAATTACATATGAAAGAATAGAGGAATGTGTAAGGAAACATATAAAAGATTGATTTAGGCAAAACAGCAATCTTCAACCCTAAATTGAAAAAAGCTTGTAGAAGTTCCTAACTTCCAGCCAATGAACATTAGAGTCTTATTAGGCAATCAGATTTTAAATTCATACCTAATGCTGTTGAGTCACAACAGAATTATTCTTTCTCCATACACCACTGTTCCATTCAATGTTATTCAATGCCTAAAACCCATGCTATTTTTTACTTCATAGTGATATTTAAACTTGTAAACAGAAGCAATCACCTTAATTCTGCCCTAAGCAGGGCCTCAGCACATCCAGTAGTTTAACATAAAGCCTTGCAACATTTAGTTTGAAAGTGCAATTTATATACTCCAGAACACAAAAAGCACAAGATTTAACAAGCCAGTATAATAGAAACCAGTTTTTAACATTTTGTTAAATAAATCAGTAACATCAGCAATCTGTCAGGCCATTGGTGCCTGTGCTGTAGTTCTCAAACCACAGCACCAGGGAGAGAAAACACCATCTGGGGATTCTAATAGGAGTTCCCTGCCATCTCACAAGACATTAAAGAGCAACATACAGTGTTTTATGTTAATGTCATGGGGGAAGCAGATGCAAGTTAACATCATAAACAGCTTTTAACTGTTTTCATCTAGGAAAGTCACCCTGAGCTTACCTGAGAAATATACCTTTCATTACCATAAGGATGCACTAGAATGTATATGTGCCCAAATATCAGACTTGCAAAGTTTTAACTCAGACTTAAAAAAAAATGTAACCTGCTGTATATCTATTAAAAGCTATTTGATTACTCTCCTAGAGCAGAAACTATATCAATTAGTTTCAAATGAACAGCGATTTTTAATCACGTTAGAGCTAAAGGACTAGGATAAAAAGTATTTAAAATATAAACTCAAAATTGTTACCTCATTCTCCTTTTCTTGGAGTAAAAGAACAATATCTCCTGGTTCCACACCTGGTGCCTGATCTGCTTCTCCACTGAACGTAATTCTCTGCCCATGTTTCATGCCTTTGTCTACATGAACTTCAAGTATTTTAACTTCTTTGATCACCTTCTTCCCTTCACATTTTTTACAGCGGTCTTTTTCATTAATTACTTCACCTAAAGAAAGAATTTTTCAGTTCAGAAATTTTCATATAACTGTCCCCAATACTGAAGAAAATATATTTAAGTAGATTAAAGAATACATTCAAACCAGTTATTTAGATGTTCCTTTATGCATTCCTTGCAAGAGGAAAGCCAGACTCAGTCTACTGGGAAATTATAGCTGTGAGAGGGAAAGAAAAAACAGAATCCAGAAGATGCACACAAGCTTCTCAGCTGTCCAAATGGGGATTTTGAGAATCCACAGTGCTTTATAGTAACACAGAAGTTCACCTGGGGCTTCCATTGGTCTTTAAAACTGATTTTGACTCCAACATACTTACCACTCAACTCCAGAAAAAATAAGACTCCTCAAAAGTCTGCTTTTCCATCCTTCATTATGCTATATGTCAAAGGAGAAAAAGCTAAAAATCAAACTAGTGTGTCTCTCTTCCCCTCAAAATTAGAATACAAATTCCAGACTACTGAATTTAGGAAGCTTAGTCCCACTTTTGCTAACAGTGGAAAAAAAGACTGTTTGAAAGCCACATTCTGCAGTGCACCAGCAAAATACCAAAAGCATAAAGTACTATATATACATGCTGTCAGTAAAACAAGAGTCACGCATACAAAACAGGGAGCAAGACAGCAGGCGAAATCACAGCTTCAAGCAATAGCAATATGAATATTCTCCTATAAAAAAATCCAACATTTCCTGATACATGAAGGATTTCATTTATACTTAAAATGGATAGCTTTTTCACGCTGCCTTTGGAAAGACAATTACCCTTTCCAGTGTTACTCAAAATGACTTAAATATCCTCTTCTAATTGGTCTTTACTTTTCAAGTAAGCTATTGCCTTTGCCCAGAACAACCAAAATATATCAGGCTAAATGCATTTACAATTCCAGCACTTATTTCTAATACTGCTTTAAGTGCCAGCAGCAGAAGCCCTTGGTTTAAGACATTAAACTTGACAATTTACATGTCTTTTCTGGGGGCGAAGAGGGGGGAAGCATATTATGGGAGGGAAAAAAAAAAAAAAAGGCCTAACATTATGATGTAGCTGAATCTACATATTTAAACTCCAAAAACAAGATGATCAAAGACAACACTATTTGCAAAATGTTTGACTGGTCAAAAAATACAACTTCTTATTAAAGTTTCCAGGTATTGTGAGAGCAGAATCACCCATAAAGCGATTTTGCAATCACAAAAAAAGAGAACAGTCCAACAAGGAAATATCTGAAGCATGGGACACAGGCTGAACTTTCCCCTAAATATGATCTGTTCAACAAAAGGCACCTCCCTGATGTTTGAAAGTTATAATTCAGATTTAGTTTAGCTAGAAATCTATAGACCTGCTATTATATATTAGAAGACTGTAAAAATACAAACAGCCCTCAAAAAACAAAACCCAGGCTTTTACTTCAATAGACAAGTAATAGTAACAAATAATATTCATGTCTAAATGCTTCCAAAGAGCTATCCCTACTTTTCAAGCACTCAGGCTTTCCTTCAATATATTATATGGGATAAATTTTGCTGCTGTTTCGAGTGGTATGATTTTGCCAAACTGAGACCAGGTTGAGACCAAACTGACTAGCTGGAATCAAAGCCTTCCTGGATAAGATGCAATTCAATATACGACAGAACCTTTGCAGGAGTTTCTTTTCAAGATTAAAAGTAAATAGGAATACAGCATAGCTAGCCTACCTTCTCCATTGCAGTCG